ATCACAATTGACACTGTACATATTGGTGCATAACAAACTACTAATGCTAACTGTTCCCACAGTGCACTGTATACTGCCTTTCTAAATCGCACCATGTTCAGTGCATTTGTCTGGCTCGGCTGTTGTTGATCTCCCACTTGTGCTTGATGATATCTGAGAGTGCAAAAAATCTTTGTGTACGATGCGAGTGATATTACCAGGCAAAATGATATAACTAGGCTGCTGTACAAATAGGTTACACGGTGATCAAAAAATCTACTTAAAGAGGCCACAAGGTTAAAAACCCAAAAGGTAGTTACAATAATATACATGCGCTTCAAAGTTACAATTTGTTTGTATCTCAGTCCCAACAACAGGGCGAGAAGTCTGTCCACGCTTATGGCTGTCATCGTCATCAAAGACACTAAAATAAATACATAGCCTGTAATGTCGACTGCGTCCCTTGCGTATCGACAAAGGCTCCAGTGTTCTTGAGACGCGGGCATCCAATGTAGAGCCATGTGAGGCTGGGTAATAACACCAACCAACAGATCAGTGGTTGCCAAACAACGATACAGGAGTTTGGACGGCGGATGTAGGGAAGATTCTTTGCAAAGGGAAACAAGGATGAGAGAATTTCCAAAAAATGCTGTAATGGAGAGGAGAATGTCAACCGCTACGAAGCAAATTGATAGTTGTTGTTGAAGCCCACCAACCAAAGAGGGAGAGCATAGCAGTTCATGAAATGATTTCGTGTGACTTCCACCGCTACTTAAATTTGTTGGGGACATAATTCTGTCTTCGGCGTTTCCCTTGCGTCCTAGCTGACAGTCGCATAAAAAAATTTCTGTTGGGTAAAAAAACCAATTTTCCCGAGAACCTTTGGGTGCCTCTGTTATGAAAATACTAAATTATTCATTTTGTAACATATTTACTCTTCTTTCGACTGTACGTTATTCATTTTAACTTTTGATCCGTTATTTTATTCACCGATGATGAAATAGCTGAGAAGCAAACCACACGAGTGCCTTCATTGTTAAAAAAATTCAACAACTTATTTGATTCTTGTGTAGAAGTTCTTTCTCTGGAACTTCTCCTTCCCATTTTTCTCTTCTTTAATTATTCCGAATAGCGACTACAACTTGACTACTTAACAGTAATAGATGGGCAACACAGCGGTCAAATGATTACGCATGCGCTTTTAGATGAATAATTTGTTATGGTCAACATTGAGAATCTAAATAATGCGTAGTTTTTTGTTGTTTCTTAGGAAATCTCAAAGTTTCTAAGGCCTAGAATTATACACATTGTTGATCTAGTTTGCCTTCTCATAATTTTTTTTACACTTTGCTTGGCGGCGTGATGAAGTCGTAAGCTTGGCCGTGCTGACAAAGGTAGAAGAAAGGTTCTGTAATTTTCCTTCATCGCCGGAACAAGGTGTCTGCGTTAAAAATAAGTTGAGATATCTCACTATAAAATAAGACCAAGATTTAAGCTTTCTCCGAAATCCCTCATTCAACTGTGTCACGCATTCAATTTGGAATAGTCAGGAATTTAACCTTTCCTTCTTCACTTCACATAATACATGGGTTTCAAAACACGTGCATGCGCAGTGTTTGACCGCTGTCTTTAAATTGGCCACAATTAGCTGTTTACTTCAATCAGTAAAATTTACTTCAAGTACAAATTAAAACTAAAGTCATATCCCTTGGTAAAAATGAAGACATCAGCTATATTACTGTTTTCAAAACAATAAAGGAACTCGACTGCGACTTTTTTTTTAAGTTAAGTAATAAGCAGTATATTTAGATATACTGCTATTTTTAGGCCCGATAATAAATTGGAAATATTCTCGCTGTTCAAACTGGAAATAAAGCGACCCTTTCTATCTGATATTTTAAAAGTCTATGTTTTCTTTTTTTTTCATTCAATATTCCTTTTTCCCTTTAGCATATAATTTCAGCAAAACGGTAAACCTGAAAGAGAACTTTGTACTAACCGTTATTTCTTCGATTTTGTTCTTTATACTTTCTTATATTAACAAACGTGAGAGTATGATCGTGCGCGCGTATATCTTTTCTTAGATTATGAATTGATCTAATCATGATAATGTGTGGTAGCAAACTATTTTTATAAATTTATGGTTAGTTTTTCCATTCCCTTCCCTTAAGTTGTTAAGGAGCGAGAAATACAATCGAGAGATCTCGAGCAAAGATATATATCATGGTTTCGCTGATTGACGAGCGTTCCTTATCAGACAGTTTTAAACTGAAAGTACCAGTACGATCGGGTAAAACTCGAGATGGTCTAACTCCAAGGAAAGCAAAGTGCTTGTCTGATTGTCTGCTTCATTGCTTGTCTTACTTCACTTATCTTCCAGTAATAAATAAACGGGTTAAACGTCGAGTTAAAGTAAACCAAGACAACGGTTATTCCCCTTAGGATGACCAAATGCGATGAATGTGTTTTATTATGTGCAATCACGGTTACCACGATAAAGAATGGTGCAAAACAAACAATTAATGCTAACTTCGCCCGCAGTGCACTATACACTGCTTTTCTGTATTGAGCTATGTTCAGTACATTTAGTTGGCTCGGCTGTTGTTGAACAGGATCTTCTGCCTGAACCTGATGATATCTGTGAGTGCGAGAAATCTTTGTATATGATGCGAGCGAAATAACCAGGCAAAGTGGTATAGTTATACAGTCATCAAGAAAAGTGCATAAAGAAGAGACATGAGATAAAACCCAGATGGTAGCTACAATGATATATGTGCGCTTCAAAGTTATAATTTGTTTGTACCTCAGCCCCAACAACATGGCGAGAGGTCTGTCCACGCTTATAACCCTCATCGTCATCAAAGACGCTAAAACCAATGCAGAGCCTGTGAGGTAGGCTGCGTCAAATGTGTATCGACAAAGGCTCCAGCGCTCCTGAACCATGGACATCCAATAAGTAGCATAGAGAGGCTGGGCAACAAGACCAACCAACAGATCAGTTGTTACCAGAGAACGGTACAAGAGTTTGGACGGCGGGTGGAGGGAAGATTCCTTGTGAAGGGCAACAAGAATGAGAGAATATGTGCATTTGAACATTTTATGGAATCTGCGCATTATAAATGTCCTATTATTATCATTATTCATAAGGAATGCTGTGATGGAGAGGAGAATACGCACTGTTGAGAAAAAAGTTAATATTTCATGTAATCCACCTCCAAAAGATGGGGTGCATAGCAGTTCTTGAAATGTTTTCGTCTGTGTTCCACCGCTAGTGAACTTTGCTGTCGACATTGTTCCGTATTCGTTTCCTTTTTCTAGTGCTGAGGCAACTGGCAACAAGAAATGTTTCGTTTAAACAGCATACGTTGAGCGACTATGACTGAAACTTCCTTCAACAAACACATGAAGATTTCCTCATCAGCGTTTGTTCATTCAAAGTGCGTAAGCAAATTGTCTGTTGTGCGGGTTCTTTAATGTCCCCTACTAACCATTATCGAGAAGATGCAGGAGACGGGGCTTACGGCTTTTCGTCCTTATCCGAGAAGACTAGAATGTCTAACCGTTGCAAATATCATAGCAAAGGCAACACATTCTCCTCAGTTATTTTAAGACCCTGAGTGTGGGTCTGGTCTGGGTCTTGGTATTGAACAACGTAATAAGTATATTTTAACTGTTTCTCGTCGAGGAGAAGTATTATAAATTTAAGCCGTATATCCCTCGGAAGCTGACCTGGCCAGGATTCCCTTTCGTAGATGAAAAATCTCAAAGGTTAAACTGGAAAACACTTTACCTTAAAAAACGTTTTTAGGTTGAAATCTTAACGTCAGTAGTTGTCAGCGACATCCGGTGACAACAGCCTTTTACGTTCCTGACGACTTTTCTAACAAGCAACATTTAACATCAATGTCATCGGAGAAATATTTTGATAATTCTGAAATTCTTAAAAAAATTATTAAATTGAAAAATTTTAATAGCTTTTGCATTAAAAAATTTGGAAAACTGCGACAGTCAGATATGAATTACAAATTTTTAGAGTTCTTCCTCGAATTCGAATTGAAAAGTGTTCTCAGGTTTTTAGACGAGAATTCGATAGCACACTTTCTAACTAAGCCTTAGTCAACCACTGTATCTCTACGGAAAAGGAACTTCTATGTTTTACGCTCAAAACACAAACCCTCTGAAGAAGTCATTTAAGATCTATACATAAATGCTTCTAATTTTTCTCGGTGAATTTTAGGGTAACACACTCTTAGTGGACCTTTTCACGCACATATTTAGTTCCTATAATTTGAGCGAATCATTTTGGTGATGTGAAGGGAAGATCTTGTCGTTAATGACTCAGCAGTTTTACAATACTCATTGTTTTTCGCTATTTTCTGTTCACCTTGAGAATCTACTAAATAACCTTGGCGTTACCTTGGAGTGACGTCACCTTGGAGTGACGTTTTCCTCGTTTTCCTTACAAGCAGAAAAATACAAACGAGACAGGAAATTGCTGCTGATTTCCCAATTCTGAATAGCGAGTCGTTCCTACTGCTATTTTTTAGTGTCAGAAAATCGCGTTAAGTTCCTTTTAAATTCACGGTGAAACGACGCCGTCGGCAAGTATTTCCGGTAATAAGTTAGCTTATTGATAAGAACATATTCTGCCTGTATGTTTAATTAGCAGTTTACATTCTTCAGCTTATTTCAAAAAAGTTCCGTAGTTTCTAAGCTTTCGTAAGCGAAAAGATCAACTCTCAGCTGGTGTGTTTGGACAAAAATTGCATTGGATATAATGAGGCACACCAAGGTATTGTCAGGGAAGTTATAGTAGCTGAAATATTCTTTACTGCTAGAGTAACAATTCAATTTTTTTGGCTCATTTGAATACTTGCTGTCTTACTGTAGACGAAGGGCAAATATACCTAGTAACTGACAGGAAATATAACAACTTTTGTTTATTTTTTCACGAGTAGACCCGGCATTAATAAATGTATTTTCTCACGTTCTCACAAAAAATAAAAAGATCAGTTGGTTGTTTCTGTTATATCACCCTGGTCTTTTGCATGCTCTTGACCTGAATTGACCTTAGTTTTTTTCCAAATCAATAGCATACACGTAAACATCCTATAATTAAGTTAACGTATACGTGCGAATCTGAAAACGCACATGAACCTTTTCCAGTGCTGGATATTCATCTGACGGTCCCTTTCGGCGCATGAATAACAAGCAGTTACACACAACAACCTCAACTATTAAACTATTATTATACTATATACACTATAACTATACTATACAGTTATATAAACGACAAGTTTTCCCTAGTGCTCATTATTTGCTTAACTGAAAACAATCTTGAGTTTATTTGCGTGGTAGCAATTGAAGCATATCCTTATGAATAATCAAATGTGTTCAATCGCA